GGTCTTGTATGCTTAGCAGGGCATAAGAGCCCCATGTTGCTTGTTGCTCTATTTGTTACAGTTCCTTGTTACCCCTTATTTATTGCCATGTCTTATACCTGTTTATTTAGTTGTTAGTACGGTGTTTACCAGAAAGGGGGAGTGGTAGGTACATTGGCTAAGTTTCAGGTTTCTATGGCCTTATATTCAAGTTCAGCCTTTCCTTGTATTATTAATTGGTTCTAGGTTGGATGCTAAACATTAAAAAGGTGTGCTAAGCCTGGTCTTATTGCCCAAACTGTACCTTGGTGCATGTCTAATTCCGAGAATCTTAGTTGGGAGCTGGAATGGACTTTATTAGTTGCTTTTGATTATTAAAATTATGTTTCTTTAAGTTAAAGTTGCAAGTTCTTTCTCTGTGTGTGTGTGTGTGTGTTTTCTTGAGTTTTAAGAGTTCTGTACATTGAAATTTTGTGGTCTATTTGAAATTGCAAAATTGAGCCTAGTGTCTTAACTTGAGTTCTTTTTCATTATTTATTGGATTTGTTTATAGCTAGGTGATGCTTTAAGTCAAATTTGTGTGTTTCATAATTGGATCATTTAGGTTGATCTTTTGTGCATTTTTCTTAAAATGAATAAAAAAGAAAAAGCAAAAAATAAAAAATTAATAAAAAATCAAAAACAAATAGCGAAAAGCAAAACTGTCAATCAAATGGAGCCTTAATAATTAAAATCTAAGTATTTATTAAGGCCTTATTAGATTGCTACTTCTTACATCTATTTATCTGCATGTATTCTTTTGTGCCTTTTACTTGCTATCCTTTTCATAGGGTGGATTGCTGATGTATTTGCAACTACATGCAGGTACTCTCTCATTTCATACAATTTCATATCTGACGTGCTTTGACCAATTTATTTTCTTGCATTTTTCTTTTCATGGTGCTAAATGTCCTTGATTTTATTAAATTATGATAGAGTTGAATTTTCTTGTGGTGTAAAAGAGTATTGTACCATCTTACTATTTTTTACATGTTTTATCTAGGAACTTCTGAGAAGATTACACTCCCTATATTCCACAAAGGAAACTAATTTATCACAGGGCACCTTGTCACATTTGCCTGTAGCCAAACATGAATGTCATTCTTCTTTGAAGGGGCCAGATGTGCCTGGGGGGACACCTAAAGGCTTAGAGACCAGTCACCTGCTAAATGGAGAGAATGATTCGAAGGAGGCAATTTTGAAACTGTACAAACAACCATATGGCTGTCTAGGGTGGTTTCGTAATATCACTTTGAAGTTCAGTAATTATCAGTTGGTCATATCTAATGGGAAAATTTTGATTGGCTGTCTGATCTTTCTCATATATTACCTCTTTCGAAGGAAAGGTGTTTCTATACAGAGGTAAGATTGTCTTCTTTTTCTTTTATTCATGCCTTACCTGTTGATGTCAGTTTCCTGAGTACTGTGTTAGTTTACCTGCTTGCTCTATGGCAGTGGTTGTTATTGCTTGATCTGGGTCATGCTTGTTATTTCATATAAAATTTGTCAACAGATGGAAGGATAGTTTTGCTTATGTTGGGTTACTGTGTGTTAAATTGTTTTTGTGTATGTTATGAATCAGCATTAATATTCGCCTAAGAATTGAATTGGTGTTTAACTCTTTGCACAGATACTTGGTCATAACTTAAATGGTAAACTTATTGGAGCAAACTCAACTTCTTATTACCCAGAGGAATAAGGATGATAATGAATATATGACTCATCCCAACTTTTGCAGCTCTGGATATGAAACATGCTTTAGTAATTAACTCCGTATGTATCTGCATTCCTCACTTTAGTATATTCAATATAACTAAATATAATGAGGGAAAACAGACTGGAAATGTTATAATGTGTCACAGAAAATTCCTACTACTGGAGCTTTTATAGAAAGCATAAGTGCCACCTTGTACTAGTCGAATCATGAGGAGCAGTAGTAATTTACGATAAATTAGAAAATAATGAATGTTTTTTTTTTTGTTTTTGTAGAAAAAGGAAAAATCTATATTCTGTTTCCAATTGACCTGCTTATTTGTTTCAGGATTGTTAGTAGACAAGTTTTGTTTTGGAAGAAGTCTTTGTTGGACTTGTGGCAACTTGCATTTTCCTACCAAGTAAATCCGCTCGCTGCTATTCAACCCTTGCCTGCTGCTACATGACCCCTTTTGTGATGAAGTTTATAATTGCTGCTCCAGTGAAGTAGTGAAGTAGCTGCTTCTCCACTTACGATCATATTCTGCTGATATCTCTCCCTCCAAACATGCAATGTTCAGTTTTTTTTTTTATTATTATTTTAAAACCTTTCTTGGTCAGAATGCTTTAAAACAATCATAAAAGGAAACAAAATAATGGATAGGGGCTTATCTCAGTTGACTTCTGTTTGAACTTTGATGTATTGGGAAATATGTAGTCATCATAGCAATGAGAAAAGAAATCTGATAGTTCCTTAGTTTATTCAAAATTTCATTGTGATTTTTTTTTACAAGAAAAAGCATTATAGTTCGAATTTAAGATCTTGATCACAATCTCATCTTACTATTACTATTTATTACATGAGCTAAAGCCCGAGTGGCCCAGTGGTGCTTATTAGGACACTCTCTTTTTCCTGTCCCTTTATTTTCCCATTCATATGTATATATGAGACGGATTCAAGAGTTTGTGATGGTGTGATAACATCAAAATATAATTTGTGATGAACATTAGTTTAGTCAAGGAAAATTGGCATTTAGAAAACAGTGATGGGCTTGCTACCACTAGTATTAAAAAGCTTTTAAAAGGTTAAATTAGATGCAGCTGTTGAGGAAAAATGAGGGAGCAAAGTAACAGGGGATTGGAAAAATAGGTCAATTAGGGTAAACTAAGGTTATCCTTAGAATTGAGCTACATACCACTTTCATGGCTTGCTTGATGAGCTTAAAGGAAGGGAGACTTGGGAGCAATAGGGACAGGCCATCAAGGTCACCAGTTTAGCAGATTGATGGTTGAAGGTGCCATTGAGTGAGCAGGGAGGCCAAGTGGGCCAACAGTGTATTGTTTGTGCATTAGGTGAGCCAGATGTCTCAATACGTGCTTGGTTACACCATTTTTTTTCACTAGGCGAGCTGGTTGATGGATGGGTAGCTGGTCGCAGAACTGGGGCAGATCTCCCACCATTAAACATGCTTTGGGTGGCAGATGAACTGTGGTACGGCCAATTTTGCACCCAAGAAGCCTTAGGTAGTGGGCGTGTAGGGTCCAATAGAGTAAGGCATGCAAGCCCAGAATGCTTTGCGGCAGGCTAGCCAAATTGAGCACATCAAGACAGGTATACGCGGGATGCTCAAAGACAGAACCACATGCTACGCGGAAAGATTTGCCAGCCTGACAAGTGGGCTAATCGTTGCCTAGTCGTTGCCACGACGAGAGCACCGTCAAAGGCCTAGACGCCTTATACGGACCGGACGTTTGATGAGACACTTTGGGACTACTGGGGAGCTTCCCCTTATAACGGGATTTGGGCTAAGGACCTTGCCAAGGTTGTTGGCGTTGGTTGTTGTTGTTGGAAGGTTAAAGGTAGGACTTAGGGGGTAAGTGGTTGGGCACTTGGGGGCCATTTAGGTACAGTGGAGTGTCAGCCAACTACTGCTGGGTTAGGGTGCTGAGGCACATTGTGTAGTGGCTTAGGTCGCCCTTCGTACATTTATAATTGAGTGCTAAATACAAATACCCTTTTCTTACTTGCTTTCTTGTTAACTTGGTGTGCCTTCCGTATTAAGTGTCAGTTGGTTTTATTAAGGAGCATGCAGGCCAATAGGTGTCCATGAGTAGTGTGCGGCCAAGGAAGGGTTGCTGAAGGGGGGGGGGGGGGGGGGGGGGGGGGGGGGGGGGGGGGGGGGGGGGGGGGGGGGGGGGGGGGGGCGGTGGGCTTTCGAGCAAGGGTCTCAATGGAGTGTATTGGTTGTGCGGAGGGTGGAGCGAGATTGAGAGCTTAGAAGCGGGGCTCTATTGATTAGCATTCTGATGTTAGGGTTTTGACTTTCGCATCAGCGATCTTGTCAGGCGACCATTCTGATCATGTAAGGCTAGCTTAGCCACGAGTGACCGAGAAAGGCATGTTGAGTGTTCCACGGGTGCAGAGGGGAAACCTCTGGCGAGACGATCGGCGAAGGCTCGGCGGCGCGCGCGGCGCGCGGGCGACGTACGGCAGGCCGCGGGGCGAACGCCGCCCGGCAGCGCAAGGCACAGCCTGCGGGGCGGGCACACGCGCCAGTACGCCACACCGACCGGACGAGCCGCGCGGACGTGAAGCGACCGCCGCAGCGGAGCGCGGCGACGGCCCGCGACCACCAAGGCATACAGATCCCGGAACAGCGCGAGACGCGACCCGGGCGCAGCGGCGACGGCCGCTCCACAGCGGCCGAGCCGGCAGGCGCGCGACCCCGGCAAAGCCGTGGGCCGCACGGAACCGCGGCGCGCCGGCGATTGCACCGGCGACGAACGCGTTTTGGCAGGGTGGACCGACGAGCGCCCAGGAGAGCCGGGCCGCGCGCGGTCCGCAGGCCGGCAGCCGGCGACACGCGCGCGCGGACAAGCGCCGGCGCGCGCGCGAGGCGGACAAGACGGCGGCCCGGAAGGCGAAGCTCGCGGACCAGGACCGGCAAGCCCGCCCGGCGGGCCGGACGCGCCGGCACAGCGGGGCGCCAACCCGCGCCGGGCGCCGACGGCCGACCGCCGAGCGCCGGGAGCGGCGGGCCCCCGCGATACGCCTCGGCGTGGCCGCGCGCGGCCGCGCGCGACCCTCGACGCGCGCCGCCCGCAGCGAAGAAGGCCCAAGCGCGGCCGGGCCGCAGGAGCCGACGCGCAAGGGCCGGCGCCCGACGCGCCCGCGCGACCGAGCGCGCGTACCCGCGGCCCCGCGGCAAGCGGCGGAGAAAGCCGCCGTTGCGACGCCGCGGGCGCCGCACGACGGCGAGCCGGACCGCCGCGCCAGCCAAGCGTCGCCGGAACGCCCGGCCCGAGCAGCGCCCCGACAAGGAGCGCCAGGCGACGCACGGGCGCCGGCGCGGGCCGAGCTACCCGCCGGGCCCCGCGCCGACGCGGCGACGCGCGGACCGGATCACAGAAGGGAGCCGCCAGCAGGCGGGCGGACGCCGCTGACGCCGCGCGCCGCGCGCAAGCGGCCGTGACGCCAGCACGCGAAGCGGCGGCGGGCGCGGGGGCGACCCCCCCAGCCCGCGACACAGCGACCGCCCCGCGCGCCACGCAAACACGCGCGGCGCCAGCGCGCGCGACGCAACGCCGGCCGCGCGGGACCCCCCTACAGAAGGCGGACGCACGCCCCGCCACCCGCACGCCGCAGCGCGCGGCGGCGGACCCGCCCGGCGGCGCACCGCCCGCGCCTCGCCGCGAGCCGGACGCCGCGGCGGCGCCGCCGGACGGCCGCCACAGCGACACGGCGGGACACGCGCGCGCACGCGCGCGGCCCGCACCACGGCGCGCACACCGCCTGGGCGGCACAGAGCCGCACACGGCGCCCGCGGGCAGCAGGACCAGAGCGAACCGAGGCGGCGGCGGAACGCGACCCAGCCGCCGGGGCGCAAGCCCGGGCCCCTTAGGCGACGGAGTCGCACCGCCCGCCCTGCGACGAGCGCAGCGACCGAGCAGCGCGCGCATCGCCAGGCGGTGCGCCGCCCGGCACGAGGCCACCGCGCAGGCGGCGCCAGCGACGAGCAGCCGCGGCGCGCCCCAGCATACGCGCCACGCGCCCGGCGAACGACGACGCGGGCCGCGCGCGCGCATGCGCCACCAGAGGCCCAGCCCGGCAGCAAAGGCGCGCGACAGGCACGGGGCCGGGCGGCGCCGACGCGCGCGCCGGGCGAGCCGCGCCGCGCACACCCGCGGCCGCGCCGCCGGCCGGCGACCAGACCGCGGCAGCCGATAACAAGCCCCGCCCCGCAGACCGACGGCCCAAGCGAGAATCACGGACAGGCGCGGCGCCGAGAACACCATCCGCCGACATGTCGACCTCTCGGCGAGACGACCGCGCCCCCCGGACAGGACCGAGCCGCAAGGGTAAGCCGAGCAGGAGCGAGCCGGCGAGACGCCACGGCCAGCCAGAGCGCGACCGCCGCGCGGCGGCACCGCGGCAGCGCCGACCCGCCGCTGACGCCGCCGTGACGCGCGCGGCCGACGCCCGCGGCGAAGCCGGCGCCCGCCGGCGCCGCACGACGCCGCGGAGACCGGCCCGCCCAACCAGCGCGCGGCCAGACCAGACGCGCGGCCCAGCCGCCGGCAGCAGCGCGCAAGCGCCCGCCCCGACCCCCAGCGCCTAGCGCGAGCGACAGCCCGCGCGCCCGGACACCCGCAGACACCCCCGCCCAGGCACGCGGCGCGCGGCACGAACCCCGCCGTATGCCCGGCAGCGCGCAGCCACCGACCGAGGCGGAGCCGGCGACGAGCGAGACGAGACGAGCGCCGGCGCCGAGCCCGCACAGCGGCCGCCGAACCGAGACAGTGCGCCCCGAAGCCACACAGGGCAGACAGCCGCGACGCCAGAACCCGGCGCCACCGACGGCCCGAAGCGCGGAACGCGCTGCGCCGGCGCGGCAGAAGCGCCCCCGCCGAGCGCGCCCGGCGCGCGCCAAACCACGGGACCGCCGCGGGATAAGACCGCGAGCGCCAGCGACGGGGGCGGTGACGCGGCGAAGCAGCCAGCCGGACGCGCGGCGGCCGCCATGAGCAGACGCGCACCGCGCAGAGAACCGCCCGGGCGCCGCCACGCGCGCGCGGAACCCCAGAAGTCCAGGCGCAGCGAGCACAGCAGCCAGGCACCGAGCAGGCGCGCGCGACGCGGCGCCGCCCGGGCGGCGAGACCGGCCAGACCCGCCGCGCGCCGCGCGCGCGCCCGCGCAGACGCCGACGACCAGCGCCCCGCCGCCCGCGGGCCGCCGCACGGCACCGCGACCGCCTGCCCGCCAGAAGATGCGCGCGCCCGCGACGCGCCGCGCAGCGCGCGCAGCGCGGCCCCAGGCGGCCACGCAAGCGCCTCACACGCGCGCGCGCGGCTGCCGTGGCCATCCGACGCGCCGGCGACGGGCGGGGCGCGGGGGCCGGCCGCCCGAGCGGGGCAGGAAGGCAGTGCCGGCCGGGGCGGCCTGGGGGCGGCCGGGAGGCGGCACGCGCCGCGTGCGCGCGTGGCGTTGTGCGCGCGCGCCGCGCCGCGGCGGCCGGGCCGGCGGGGCGCGCGCGGGGCGCGGGGGCGGCACGTCCGCGCCGCGGGCCGCAGGGCGCCCGGCGCGGCGACGCCGGACCGCGGGGGGCGGCCGGGCGCGGGCGCGCGCGCGCGCCCCGCGCGCGGGGGCGCCAGCCGCGGGACCGCGCCCGGGCGTGGCCGGACGGCCCGCGCGGTGCGCCGCCGCGGGTGGGGGCGGGCGGCGGACGGGAGCGGGCCGGGAGGGGGGGGCCGAGGCGCGGGGCAACGCCGGCTCTCGTACACTGAAGTGTGTCATACGAGGGCCGCTGCTTCCCATCCTGCGTGCTTGGTCAGTTGCTGAGCGACCCGTCCGTGACACGTCGCAACGCGATGCCGGTGTTTTCCGGCTCTCTGGTCGTGGCTACGCGTAGCTTGACTGATCCACAGCGATCGTTCCGCTGGACAAGACTCGCTAGTCCGCGAAGCGGCAAAACCGGACACGCAGGTGGATGCACGCCGCCGTGCGGGACCGCGGCGGTGCGCCGGGGCCGGCAGCGGCGCGGGCGCGCCGAGGGGCCGCCGGAGCCGGCGGGCAGGGCAGCGGCGACGCGGAGGGCGTGCGGGCGGGGCGCGCGCGCTCCCGCGGCGACGCGGGGCCGGCGCGGCGGGCGCTTCGGAGAGGCGGGGGCCGACGGGCGCGCCGCCGGGGCCCGGTGGGGCCGCGAGAGGGGGCGCGCGCGGAGCCGCGGGGGGGGCGCCGCCGGCAGCGCGCACGCGGGGCCCGCGGGGCCGGCGGCCGGCGCCTGGGGGGGGTCGCTGCGGGCTGAGCGGGCGGGCGGCGGCGCGTGGCTTTCTGCGGCCAGCGGCCCGCACCGCGGGGCCGCGACGGCGCCGGCGGCGCGAGCGGGACGCCGAGGCCGGGGGGCCGCGCCGGGCGCGGGAGGCGGGCGGGCGCACGCACGCGCGGGCCCGGCGGACGGTCGGGGCGGGGCCGAGCAGGCCGCCGCGGCGGCGCGCGGGGACGGCGCCGCGGGGCCGGCCGCGCGCGCCGGCGGCGCGCGGGCCGGCGGCGAGCCGGAGGGGCGCGGCGGGCCGGCGCGGGGGGACGCGCGGGCGAGACGGCCGAGGGCTGTGACACTTATGTAATCAGAGCGGGTTCAGTTCTGGGTACTTTGAATCAGAGTAGGTTGAGTCGAGATACTTGTTATCAGTGGGACACTTGACCAAAATAGGTTGATCGAAACACTTAGTACCAACGCGGTTGTGAATTGAGTAGGGTCAGTGACCAGTGGATCAGTCAGTTTGCAATTTGTGGGATAGTTTGCAATTAGTGGCAGTTACGATCAATAAGGGAATGGCCACAACAATGGGACAGTTGGCATCGGGCGAGGTTAGGGTAGACCATGGTGTTGATGGGAAAGGTAGGGTGACTTCTAGGGTGATGGCATCTGTAATGGATGCTCGAGTAAGTCAGATGGAGGGTTCAATGTGCGAGCTAGGGTGGAGCTTTAAGAGACTAATTTCAGACTCGAGGGCTAGAGTCAACTGCAGATGAAATGAGAGCAAAACTGCAGGTGGCCTTGAATGAGTCCTTGGATGCTTCATCCTAGTGGAATACTGAGTTGGATGTTACGATTAGGGCATTAAAGCAAAAGATAGTAGGGCTCAAGGGTGAGTTGGCAGCATGCAAGAGAAAACCCACACAACTGCTTGATTTGCAAAAGCCTAAGGAGTTCTAAGGTGTGAGGGATTCTAGAGAAGTAGACAACTTCCTTTGGTGGATGGAACAATACCTTAAGGCCGCGGGTGTAATGGAGGAAGAGATGTGAGAGTCCATTGCCTCGGTGTATTTAGGGAGGTAATGCTCTTGTGGTGAAGACGGAGGACTGATCAAAGCCATGGTGGCCTGCCGATCACCACGTGGGATGAGTTCCAACGAGAGTTGCCACACAATTTTGTCCAGAGTACGCTAAGGATGAGGCTTGAGCCAAGTTGAGGAGATTGAGGGAAAAGAGCGACGTTCTAGCTTACATGAAGGACTTCTCCAAGTTAATGCTACAGATCTCTGATCTTGAGCAAGGCGAGGCTCTTTTTCTGTTCATAGATGACCTACAACCATAGGCCAGCATGAGTTGCAATAGCGGGGTGTTTGGACCTCACATGTGCAATGGCAGCAGTAGAATCTTTGGTGGACTTTAAGAGGCTAGATAGGTTTGAGTTTTCCCAGTTTATGGTTAGGGATAGAGTGGGGAAGAAGGACAGCTTGTGTAAGAGGAGTAATGGCAGAAGTAAGCCCACAGCAGTAGATAGGGGTCTACTAAAGATAGACGGACAAGGTAGCTGGGCTATTTTTTGTGCGAGGGTGCAAATTGATTCAGAGATTACCCATAGTGTGCCAGACTTGTTACAATGTTGAGGGCCATGGATGAGCCAAACATAGAGTGGATGTCTGGCTTAACAAGCAGTTGAACAGAATGCTGCATTTGGGCAACATCTAACTCTAATAGGAAGTAAGGGAGACAGTAGATTCCTCACAACGACTTAGTGAGGTAATTGCAATTAGGTGCCAGTGAGCTCAATACCCTTCAAGTAGTAGAGGTTGAGTGTGATGCAGCGATAGTGGTGTGCCTTGACTTGAGACCCTTGGTATGACCTGGTAAATGAGTGAGATGCACAGTGGGGGATGTAGTTAAAAGCACAAGAGGGACAAGAGTAGTGCGGCAGTGTGTGCCAAGACTTGAGACCCTTGATGTGACCTGGTCTTTCCAAAGTAATGTGTAGAGCAAGACGCACAGTGGGGATGCAATCAGGAACAGAAGAAAGACGGGGACAGTGTGACAGTGGCAAGTAGCCACAAGGCGCAGAGTAAGCCAGATGCTGAGGTACCGAAGGAAGTGGCAATGTGAGAGATAGTGTATGCTGGCTGAGAGTATCCTTGAGGTGAGCTAGTGAATACTCTATTATATAGAGTTATTTTGACTTATTTTGGGAGCTTAAGTAGCTAGATCTTTGAGATTTTATGTTCGAATTTAGCATTATAGGTGTTTTTTTTAGTTTAGATTTGATTATTTGTTAAGTGATTAATTTAAGTTATTTTAGTTAAATTTTAGGTTATTTTATTTTAAATTACTTTAAGAGTAGTTATTGCTAATTTCTCCTATGGCTTTTGTAGGAAATGATGAAAAGACTCATTTGATGAAAATCAGTGCAAGTATGGTGATAGCTTCATTCGATATGTTTCAATATTTTGACCAATCTCTTTCTAAAAAACCCAAATGAGGTGATTCTTGACCATCAAATTAATAAGAAGAAGGGAAACAATTTTATGTTCACCAATTGGCCCAGTTATGATTGGATCATGGTCAAAAACATTTGTCAATTCGGACCACTGCAGCAGTATGTAAACTGAACACTGATGCGTATTTGGAGCAAATCTTTCAATACAGAAGTCCAATTGATGTGATTTTTGATCCATTGGAAGTTAGAGAGACAGGGATAAAACTTTTATGTTACTACTTTGCCCAGTTCTTAACATATCAGGTGAAACTCATGTTTGAAGTTGATAGACTGCCACAGCACTGGGAGAACAAGGCTGCAGCGTTGATGAAAGGAAGCACACATACAAAAATTCCGAGAGCTCAGCGCTGCAGCGCTGAGGAAGTAGCGCCGCAGCGCTGCGCGACTTCCCTAAAAAAAATAAAGGACATAACGGAATTTCGTAAAATTAGGTTATTTGGAGCCTATTTAAGGAGACTTTTTCAGAGATTTTTGAGGCAGCAGAGAGGCAGCAAAGGAGGCAGCAAGAAACTATTCTGGAGATTTGGAGCCAAGAAAAAAGCAAGGAAAAAGAGAATTGGAGAGAGAATCAAGATCATACATCTCTAACTATTAGTTTTCTTCTTACTTTGTTGTTTTTTTCTTATTTCTTTGACTTGGATTCATGGCTAAATTTCTTTGGATATTGTCTTTATTAGATATTATGAACTAATTTATTTTTCTAGGATTGCATTTAACTCACATGTATCTAGATTTTTAATCACTTTCTTGCTTATTTTCAATGGGATTTGAATTGTTTATTTCAATTTGTTCTTAATGCTTTTAATTGCATGGCCACCAATTAAATTGATCTAGAAACCTAAACAACTTGGGAAAGGGAGTTTAGTGTAGACTAAAATTGGGATAGCATATGATCATATTAAGTGATTTGCGTATAGGATAGGGATATTACCTATAGGCCATATGTAGCCAAATTAGAGCCTGAACTTAATGAGGTTGTTTAAATTTCAATTCACATAGGGAATATAGTGTTTTGGTTAAAATAGATATTTTTATAAGATGAGTTGGGAGACCTTATAAATAATTTAAGACTCTAGGTTAGCAATTCAAACCATTGAGATAAGTTAAGGAGAGAGAGTAGATTTAGATGAAGTGTGAGGGATATTGTATCCTAGGCTTGTTTGATTTGATATTTATTTGAGTATTTATTATTTTGATTTTTCTTAATTTAATTCTGCTATAACTTAGTTTTGATTTGATATTATTTTGATATTGTTTGGATAGATTAATTTGCAATAATTTTAGTACTCTAGTAAACTTTTAGATCAATTCCCTGCGGGATCGATACTCTACTTGCTAATATACTATCTATTCGATACGTAACTTGCGTGGTAGAATTTTTAACTGACAGCTAGGCAGACAAAGTTGATACAAGGTAGGAGGGCCTAATGCCAGTTCAAGACAGCGTGATTAAAAGGTGTGGAGACTTGTTATGCTTGAATAACAGAGAAATTAAGGGAAATGGGTGCGAGTTTGCAATCGAGATGCATGTGGCGACAAAGTGCCACTAGGCCATGATGGGCGAGCAAACAGATAGTTTTCGAGCGAGCGCCCAGTTGGGTAAGTCAACGCAGGAGCGATAGTTTGGAATGTGCGAGTCAAAGGTCAATGTTGGATGGTGCAGAAAAACAGAGCACAAACATCCGAGCATAGGGTAAGAGTGCCTAAGTTGAGCGTGGTAAGGTCAGGAGAGTCGAGAGGGGGCGACGTGGATAATCGTACATTTGGGATGCGTGAGGGAAGGGGGCACACTAGATACAACAGAGTGTCCCAAAGTCGACGAGGGGTCTAATGGCGAGGTACCAGCCTAAATTCAGACCGACTTGTTTCGTCAGTAGAAGAAGCTTTGAGCGTGAGGCAAGAGGCCTACCAAATATGCATAACATCTACCCGACTTAGGCGTAAACAATTAAAGGGCCAAACGTGGTCTAGGACAGCTGAGGTGGGATTGCGAGGATAAGGCACAAGAGGATGTGGCTTAGCGACAAAGTGCAGCTGCAGGCTGTAGCACATCAATGATTGTGA